GACACTGCCGAAATGTCTGTTAATCGACAGAGCGGAACGCCATCTTCAAGCTAAAAAATATGACTAGTATCAACCACTAGGAATTATGCCTGAGATTTAAAGCCCATCAAAAAGTGAGAATCTGATTGATGAACCTTCATTCATGTCTGAAACCCGTCTAGTTTTCTCGAGTTTGTTGTCCGCTAAGTTCACTTAGGCTTCGGATAATTATGGTTCCAACGATCTTGGGTACGATATTAGTAAAACTGTCCCCCCATTGTCTGTAACAAGAAGAACTTTCCCTTTTTTATGCACTAGAATGACCAGTGAAGTAAACCGATTTGATGGGACTAACTCTGATTTCCATACACTACCTAGTACCCTCACTACTGAATTCAGTGCTTACATACCTCCGTCCTTAAAAATATTGTCTGGCAAACTGTCAGGTCCTGCTGCTTCGTATGATTTCAGGTTTGAAGTACCCTCATCAGCTTCGAAGAAAGTTAGAGATGCGACATCTACATCTCATTTACGTCCGAGCTGGGTACTATGAGCCACTTGAACCATACTGTAAATTGTTCCACCCAACATTCCTGATATCTTTCCTTTTCAGTGGTGGTTCCACTAACCGTCGACTTCTTCAGGCCGGTATCCTTATTAAACCCAAAAAATTACAGGGTATTTCTTAATGCTGATACCTTTCCCACCTGTCTCACTTTTGCTACCCATCACTGCTAGTAGTCATTGCAAAGACTCTTGGCCGATTCACGTTTGAGGTGTTTTCGGTCTTCATTTCAGTCATAGCCAGCTGGAATGTGTCTTAGTCAGTTTGAAGGACGCTATGGAAAACCATTTACGTATTTTTCTTCTCTACCAGATAAGAAGTAGGAGCAACAAACTTTTCGCTACTTAAAGTCATAATTGAAATTAAAATTCTCTTCATATCTACATTGTTTGAGTAGTGACCTGATAAACGGATATTTGGACAGTTTTGGATTTGAAAGCAAAAAGGTAGGAGGACTGGTGTACAGGCTTGCAAAAAAGTATATTAGCCAGGTTGTGGGTTTCCAGAAAAACAAGTCAGACAGAAAAGGTATAATATAAGAAGGAGACATGCGTACAAAAAGATTGAAAAATAAATAAATGATGGTCTGTTTGCATAATAAAAATTGAACAGTTACGCGCCACTTCGGTCAATATAGTAGATAAATATCAGTGCGATTCTGAAACTTTTGCTTTCCGACATCGTGAGGACCACAGCAGATTGCCTACTTAACTCCAAATCAATCGAACCAATGTGCCCTTTACACTAACCTAAGCTTCCTAGTTTACATGATAAAATACAGGCCAACCAAAGGATGATACCACTGTTACTTTCCGTGTGTCTATATGTATGTTGAACTATAAAAGCTTATGTGCTATCTTTACGAATATACTTTAAATAAGGTTAGAGATGAGACGATATTATTAATCATTGCACTTGTCAGAAAGTTTCTTGCACAAACAAGTTTCCCGACAACTGTTTCGTTGTCAACCTAATCTCAGCTACATTCTAAAGAATTAGCAGTGGTTAGATTAAGTGTGATGATAGAATATTTAAAGACTGACCGAGCGATTTCAGACAACTCTTCTGATAAAAGTTTCGTGTCCTTACAATGTTTCCTTCGGGCTTTCTTCACCTGATACGGATGAAATATCTTCCATGGTGACAATATGACGTAACTTCTATTAAAAGACTTGAGGATGGTAATTGTGAAAAACAAATACATTTAATAAATAATGATTTAGTGACTATGTCCTAATGCTGTTCATTGTTTATCTCCTTGTTAGCTACTGTAAGGATAGTTGATCGTATATTTAGGTTTGGATTTTATCCAAATCCTACTTAATGTTTAAAAAGTCATCTCACAGATCGAAGACAGATATATGCACATTCGTTTAAACATCATTTCTTTAGGAAGTAAGGTGAGTAAGCAAATAGGTTTAATACGTATCATCCAATCTTAAGTAAACAAAAAACAGATATCCAAAGTATTCACTAACCATATTGTGTTCATCATTACTTATCTTGTCACGAATTTTTCATGAAAGGTATATTATCAGAGTATCTGACATATTGTGATTGGCATGATTTACGTGCTTGATGATTACTTATGGCCAAACGAGTAACATGCAGAATGATCGATACTTATGTTGAATATTTACAGTAATCTTTTCTTGCACCACTTTTGTAAATCTAAGCTACAAAACCTAACTAGGTAAAATAGTATTCATCTAAAACTTACAGGCTAACTGCAACTCATTATACAACGGTAACAGACAAAACCATTCACCGCCAAGAATATTGTTTGGAATAACCTATATGAAGGCTCTGATGTGCATAAGATACTTTCACAAAAGTCATGTGGCTATTTCTTTGTACATCTTTTTAGCAAACAAAGGTTATGAAGGTAATACTCATAGGTTTTACAAAAAAATTTGTATTTAAGAAGGCTTGAAATCTCTGAAAGATATACTACGGACTAGTTTTTAGAGAAACCCTTAGGAAAACATTTAAAACTGGAGTATATTCAAGCGTGTCAAGACGTTTTGCTTAGTGATTTTCAACTTTTTTTCTTAAAATAATACTTAACTGATCACTTCCACCTCAAAATGGTGGTCTGGCTTATCGACCTTAATGACCCAGAGAGATCTGCTGGCTGTAACGGTTTTTTCTTGGGGTTTTACAATCCCATAAAGATTTGATGAGTAGTGGCAAGACTAAAACGGATACAGCCGTAGTGCATATGATTACCACTAACTGGGATTCAAAGGAGAGGTCATTCTGCTTGCATGCAGGATATGACAGTAGTGAGATGTTTTCAGCGGATATTCAGCATCCCATCTTGATACCGAACTTCATTACCAGAAAAAAGCAAGAAATGTCGACTCTAAAAACGGCATGCTTCTTCCTACTCCCCAGTCTTCCAATGACAATAGTACTGGTTTCTTCAGTCTGAATGTAACAGAATCTAAATCTGAATCCCAAACTCCTAGAAGGGCTGGATACGTGTGTTCATTGGACTTTATGGTCCTGCAAGTCTAGTCCACCTTTCATTTCGAACACTTCAGGAATACGTGAACTTCATGCAGCATAAAGCGTACTTTTTCATTGAATAATTGATGATAGCTACCTATACGCCTTTCAACTGGATGGATCTGCAAGTAATGCCAAGAACCATGAAATTTATCAATGTCAATTCTTGTTCTATGCTTATCTACCCAGGATCTGCAGTTCAAAAGATTGACAAAGTGACTTTCGCTGCAACCTATCGATTTCACTTCAAAACATGAATATTTTTTTCAGATAATCATACTGCTAGTTAGCTTCAACACTCAAATAAAAAGAGTACTCAGTGAGAAAGCCATCTTATGAATATTTATGAGACTTAATACCAGTCGACCGACAAAAATTATCATCTGATTTCTTTGTTTCGACAACCCCTCTGTTTTTCTGATCAGCAATAACCTCAAAATCGTTTGACTATTGTATGCCTCGTTATCCACTTTAATCATGCCGGCGGTGAACACAAGAAGCTTATATTAAAGTGACCCATCCTAGCAGAATATTGTTATAGGATTAATGTTTCTTGAGTGCCTGGTTGAACTCCAATAACTTAGTAGTACAGGCGTTTGCGTTTGCACAGTCGTAAACGCAGGAAACAAACGGCATCGAAAATTATTCGATGTACAATTCATTGCCCACAACCGCATTACAGAAATCATATAACTTTGGAGACTGAATTTATACTCCTATAGCTCCTCAGTTTTCAACATTAAGCATGAGTAGAATTTTACCAGTCTTTGTAATAGATGATTATTCTTTACTGTTTTCTATGCTTGACGTCGATTCGATGAAAAAGAACTGAGTAGTGAATCTTTTCCTAGCTGTAGTGAGTGCTAGAATGAACATTCTACCCAACCACATGCTCTGACTTTGAGTTGTTGTATGCACATCAATAGGTGAGGTTATCTTAAGTTTGCTTGCATCAGTGGGTTTACTGCTTTACACTTCGACATCTCGAGTGAGCCTCTTTGGCTACTTCAAACCATGTTCTTGATTTAAAGAGTCAAGAAAAAGGATGTAGAGCGACTGTTTTTTAGTATGAAAGTTTCGTGGTTAAATATTTCACTATGGGCAATAAATTGTTCTGGAGATGTCATCATCATGTGTATCATCATGTGCTATGTCAAACAAACTGATCTTATACGGGATCATAATCCACAACACTATTCACATTCTATTCTCATATTTCGTGCTGTTTTGTCAGTTCTTCATATGCTAAATACTCAAGACTTTTTGACCAAATACGAAAAAAAGGTTATTAGGAATTCAAAAATTGTGTATAGGTTAAGTGATGGTTATTAAAGGCATATTTAGTTCGTTTCTATGTACTTAAAACAAATGTATTCCAATGGATCACAAAGTCGCTTACTAACTTTAATACTTTTAGTTTTGTTACATGACTGGATCCGTTAGTTTTGGAATACTAAAATGGCCACAAATCATCTTTTACTTTTCGAACTAGGTATTTATTCAATAAGTAAATCACTAACTAAAGCATTTAAGAAATATCAACATCATATGTTATTTACTCAGCTCAGTGGTTATTCGACTAGTTAGTAGATATTTAATCAATCCTTTTTGTAAGTTAACAAATTTAAGTTGTAAGCCAACATCGGTAAATCAAATGTAATCAAACATTTTGTTTATATAATATGACGATATTGACTTCTGTCCTTCATACATCCACTTTTCAAATTCATTCTTGTTATCAATACAAATATACAACAGAACAACCTATGAAACTAATGCCATTTTTGTTAAACTCCTATAGATGCGAAAGTTTACAATTGTGGGAAATAATTTCTATAGAAAAAAGCTTTTGATTTAAAAGAAATCTTACATATATAGTTTAGATGGTGATGTGATGATCTGAACTAGACAGTAAAATAAATCACCGCTTAAACATTAAGATTACCTTGCAATTTGGAGAATCCAGGCTTTCAGCTGTCCATGAATTAAAATAAAAATCATCTGTCTGAGTTGATATATCAGATTTATTTGGATAGGAATTGTCACTAAAATATATATGTAACAGTAAAAAGTAAACAATTATGGTTAAGTAAACAGCTTATAGATGAAGATAGATTTAAAATCATATTTATTCAGTGAACCTACACCTGGGGAAAAAAACAATCAATGATAACAAATAGTTTGCAGAATATTCAATGATTAAATCTTTGAATTTTTTACTTTTACTTTTCTTTGGTTCCTATCAGTTAATAGTGAAAAAATTGACCTATTTTTGGAACCATGGAACTGAAAACAACTGTTTAAGTGATATGAAAAAGTGACTTTTAGAAATGAAAGAAAGTAACACTTCTTTTATTCAATGGAATATTTGTGGAGTCATAAAAAATACTTAAAGCATTATACTGTGAAATGTATATTCTTCTAATAGAAGTTTGAAGTATGATGACACGAAGCAAATGAAAATAATAACAATTATTAGTTAGTTACAGCAAGAATGAAGTAGCAGTTCCATTATTCTTGAGTTTAAAAAGGTACTGATGAGCATTTATCTGCTGCCATATGAACGCTGACTCCCATGGTTTATTTTTCTATCACACCTCAAGATATTTCGATTCCCTTAAACTTAAGACCTCTGTGAATAAACGAATTGCTTTCGTTTTATCTGAGAATTGACAATGATTAGATTCAAGAATGCTTTGAAATCTCCACAAGCAAATAACCCATTTTTAGAATAGGATCAAAACACTCAAAAGAGTCAAAAGGAGTAGTCTGATGCCACACAAAGTGTAGCAGCTTTCGTTAACTCATAACTAACATGCAATAAAAGCAGCAATATGAATCTAAAACTAAACGATTAGGAATCGAATAAATTTCCAAGGCAAAGTTATTTTTTCGGTTTGAGAACAAGTCTCATATCTGAGGAAGTGTTTGATAACAAAACAAATCAGTCATTGAATAAGACAATGTCTTATCAGTAACTGCAGGAAGTGAGTGCAGAAAATCTGCCAAAAGAAGTCACTTGAGTCTATTCCATCCTACAAATCTGATTACAGAGAAGAAACTAAAAGTTCAAGTTCACATAGAACAACACAATGCTTTACTGCCACTTCAAACTCAAGAACAGCAGATCTTATGCATAACATGCTATCGCTCAAACACTATGTTATGATTCACTAGTTAGCGTTTCACAACTTCTGTCAAACTGCCACATATCCCGATTTCCATCTGATTTAATTCGTGATATTCAATCTCACCACTGGAACGATACCACAGACCTCAGTTTACCACTAGAGCTTTAAACCAACCCAAAACAATTCAATAATTTGCAATGACACACTGGTCATTTTGGACGTCTTCAAAAAAATGTTTGACTTCTAGGTAATCTTGCATTTTGGTTATCGTCAGAAACACTTTCGAAATTAAATACGTTTTCGAAAACTTCCAAAATGAGTTACAAGTCATCTATCAATAATGACTAACTTTGCAATATATCAAAGCCATAGTCGGAAGATATAAACTACTGGTGAACTAATTCGGGAGTGAATTGAAATGTCCACCGAAGATGTTAAGCAGTGGTCGTGGTATATCATGAAATACGGGAAGCTGAAAAATTTGACCCATACAAAGTCTCAGATCATTGGTTGAATGGTAGCGTTCACTCTACAAGACATCAAACTTCTTAACATGATACCTTATGAGACTGCAGGTGTGTACTGAGTAAATGTCCTAAACAAGTGCCTTCTGAACCAAAGTTTTCCTTTATCGGCAGCTTCTATAAATCTCTGAAGAAATCTACTTTGAATGAAATGTATTTACTTAACCCTTTTGTTTTTTTCTTCAATGGATTCCGAAGCATAAACCATCTCCACAGACTTTTTTTAGAGGTAAAAAGAAGAAACCATATTTGTGAATAAATCAGTTAGCAGTAAACAGAACTTTGTGTAAGGTCTTGAGTTTGTTTTCTTCAAAATTAATTGTCAGAGAGTTGCACTTTTTCCTTGAACACTTCAAAAAAGAAAGTACTGAAAAGAAAGTTTGCTCCAGTAACTCCTTCTATATTATTATCGCAAACAGTGAAGTGAAGAGTAATACTATTTTGATTATCTTTACTTGAAAAATGAACCATTTGAAAACAGGACTACAGGCTGCTTCTAAACTGTTTGTAAAGTATGTAACTAGAAGACGAAAATATCATTTTTCGAACTACTATATGTAAAAAAACTACCTATTGTATAACTTTACTGCGTTGAGATTACTCATTATCTATGTTTTCTGCATGATGTAGTGAGAGACACTGAACTTTGCCATACTTTTGACCTTGTCTGTTAACAAGTGTCTCCAAGGTTTAGGGTTTTATTATGTAGTTTAAATCTGTACAGTAAAAGTCGAAAACGCGCTCTGAAAACACTTTTTCATTGAAACTGTGACGTCAAGATAGTATGAAGCACCAACTTCATGTACTGGTTCCTTGATATCAGTTCTTGAATGAACATTTCTTACTGCTTAAGAGTGGATACAAGCAGCTTAAAGGTTGATGGAAGAATTTATGAATAAATGAAATCAATCAATTTACATACGAAAATCGTCCGAGGGATAATATGTATCGTCAAGCAATAAAAAGGGAGATTTTACTATTTGTGAAATAAATTAGTGAAAGAACATGGTTGTAACAAGTTTGCGTAAATGACTAACAATTAAAAAACATAGAAAACTGAAACAGCCAGTTACGATGTCACAGTCAGTAAAATTTTGTAAACAGTTTCGGGCACTGTAATAACAGTTACGATTGATTGTTAAAAGACTTCGTTTCATCCTATTGAACTGTATTTACGCTTAAAATGTTTTATCATTATTCCTGCTTCTGACTTAAGATCGTTTTGGAAGAAGCACCCATTGATAGATGAAATTTTACCGATTAGTTAGCAGTTCACTTCCTGGTAAGTATATGAGGTATCCACGTAAATTAGGAATTCATCCACCTAGTGAAACCAAACTTCATCGGTAACAGTGATAATAGAATAAGGTACAGACATTCCAGTTCATCCACGTACACTGAAATTATAGGAGTCTTGGAATAGAACATACCTGCGGCCGCTTTTAGGTACTTCGGAACTACTTTTCAGGGGGTTTCAAACTCTTGAACAGGTTGATGCAGTTTTCGCAATTTACACCTTATCAAATGCGACATAACGGTAGAAAACTTTTTAATGTACAGAATTAAATCTAATCTATCTGCATATAAAATTTCAACGATCACATCGACTAACCTGGTAGGCTGAGAAGTGATATCGTGATTTTTTTTCGTGGTATAAACTTGTGGCAGTGTGTTAGGTGAAACCTGATCTGAAGCCAACTGAAATTCATATTTGCGAGGTAGTCTGCTGGAAGATAACAATGCGTCTTCAATTACAGAACATGCTCGTGTTCTTCTACTTGGTGTTGAGATTTCCTCTATCCTTCGAATAGGCTAGATTAAAATGCAAAAACGTTCAGAATTATTCAAGCCTAAAAAAATACAATTTAGGCAATGACGGTTCGATTACCATTATTACTTCCTAAGCTGTTGTAATGAAAACTCCATCAGGACAACAAAAATCAACACAGTCTGATGTGTATATTATATTCAAGTTGTGAAATGCAAACATTATTTACTTCTTAAAGAAACTGTTGGATTTAACTGACATAAAAGAAATAAATTCTTCAGCGTCAGTGAAAAAATGAAATTTTCTTTCAAATCACTTTTACATGAATATCATTTTTTAAACTACGATGAAGTCAGGGTTGAGATAATATCAGCTAAATATGAAAGATAATGCAGTAAATATATTTGAAGATGAAAAATTTCATAACCAAGTAGTTTTCATAATATAGAGATTTTTACAATGTTTGACGGTTCAGTGCTAGTAAGTATTTTATCATTCGTTTACTGCGACGTCTTGGATAAATAAACCTCTGTTTCTTCAGTAAGATCTTTTGGAAATGTCTATTCTGAAATTCAGTGATTCTACACAAACTCAGGAAATCCAAAGAATCTTATTAACTCCTGAATTTGAGTGTTTCGAAAAAAGTTAGATAGTGATCACTCTCATGACCTAAACCATTGCATGGACACATTGTGAAAAGCTTACAGAAAGAGACAAATCATTTATTACGTAACGCTGCAACTAATACGGTTGTATTTGGGTTTGTAAGCACCAAAAAAGATTGGTCGATGAAACTGGGTATGCGGAACACGAAAAAGGTCCATTTCAATCTGATTGCAGTGGTTCGGATACATTCTTTTACAATATTCCTCAAAACTTCAATCACTTTGAAATGGCTCCATTGATTTCTCCTGTATTATCTCTGAGGACTTTTGTTCATTCTCCTTTGTTGGTTCGCTGTAAATCATACCAATTCTAATGTTGAGTTCCACGCTCATGTGTGCATCTGTTTATGATCCAGAACTAGAAGTTAAAGTGGCCTATAAAAAGCGTTTGACAACTAAGTATTGCACCTGTTGACAGAAAATAGTTGTAGGAAGACACACAGTTGACATTTTATACTTCCCAAAATGACCATTCAAATTTCTGAAGGCACATAAGTAGAAGAAATCAGTTTCCTCGCACAGTAACTAACTTGAACTTCCTATTATGAAATTCCTTTACATTTTAGTTTCGAAGAAGAAACAAACATAAATCATGACATATGACACGAGTCGCTGACAGTTTATAAAACCCTAAAAATTGAAACTTCTCAGAATAAAGACACTGGAATAGAACTATTAAGAAGCAATAATTAGATTGGTAGGAAATATTTACAGCCTTTACTGTTATTATTCTATAAGGTCTATTTTTCACTGACATTGCCAATATCAATGCAAATTTCAGTAGTAATTGATACTTCATTAGTATGAAGGAAATAGAGGACCGAAACCCTAAGCGAAAAATAGTGGTCTGCAAACTAGATTAAATGAAAATATATGCTGTCAGCTGTAAATAATCAGGAGGCCAATTAGATGATCACTGGGTTTAGGGCGAACTGCATTTGAAGTTTACCATTGTCTGTAATTGTGTACTTAGTATAAGGATAAAGCCAGTTAATAAATTCAAACAAATGTGACGCCTTAATCATCCCTTAAGACCAAGTTGACAAAGAAAGCAACTCCATATAAAGATGAATTTATGAAGTCAAAATTCATCAGATACTCTGTTAACGGTCTTTAAGTCAGCGATTTTAGGCTTTGTTTTCGTAGATGTTCATAATTAGAGTCTCGGTCATACACAAAAAGATCATGGTGGTAGATGTTATTTATCGACGAAATGCGCTTCCTGTATCCCACTACTGGCCACTATCGGTCACTCCCGTTATTCATTGACTGTTACCATAATCGTGACTCAGAGCCTTTGAACTTTAACAGCTCTGCTGCAAAGTATTGGTCAAGTGGACAATTTAATTTCTGAGTCACAACTATATTTAAACATTTGAAGTGAACAGTTTTTTTTGCTGTATTCATTTAAAGTTTATCTGCTTTGAAAGCCCTCAAGATACTAAAAGCAAAACATGATATTTTACTTATTTTTTAGTCCTATGATCACAATAGTCATGCCGTTACAATACAAGTAACCACTTAAATGCACAAATGTATTGAGAGTATGAAGGCTGACTTGCACTATTTAACGAAATTATTCACTTGAATAAATCAAATGAAATAGTTATTGTTTGCCACAATTTTAATGAAACAGTTTGATGAATTTCAAAGTTATAAAAGTATGCAATAATACATTACGATATGGTTCATTGGTTCATTTCAACCAGCTATAACATAAAAGTATGGAAATAATCACAGTAGCTGTTTAAACACATGTATTTAAAAAAAGATCTAACTGACAGAAGATACGCTTTTATAGATATTTCAATGATAAAATGATTTGTCTGAGTTATAAAAGAAGTGAACTTATTTCAGTCGCATCCAATAGTAAAAACATGTTCAAGTCAGTAAAAGAAGATAAAAGAAGTTTAAAACAGTCTATAATAAGTGGTGGATAAAGCAAAGCGTAACTAAGAAGATAAAACTAAGGTTCGCATGTGTTACTTACAGGATATATGTGGGCGAGTTACTAACGCTTTCCAAGACTATCTAGGTAATAGATTACCAATGGAAGTTAGAGATTACATAGCAAAACTTATCATTAGTAATATCAAAGAAAATCAAAGTCGGAATTTTACCAGAGTGCACCAGAAGTCAACCAACGTAGACCGCGCGATAAAATACAGCTGAACCATCTGAATCAATATAAGTCCCTAACATAGCAGCAGAAAGTTCTGTATGACAATATTTAGCACTGATATATCATAAGTTCGATCTGGAAATCTAAGTATTTTACCTAGCGTTCAACCTTTTGTTTTTCATAAACCCCAACTTTTATTATCATAGCTTGTCAGTGCATGCCGGAAAATACTGCATTCACTTGGACTTTTCTATAATCCGTTGTTTTAGTTGACATTCCATAACAGGGCAACTACGACATAGTAGTTCTAAATAAAAATGCTTGCCTTTGTAACATATTTCCTACAAAATCAACTGCAGATATGTGGATAAACTGAAGTGCCTCCAAAAAAACCGTCTCTGCAATAAACATCACATTTGAATGGATTTTTTGGCGACATATGATTACTTATGAAGGACTATCCACAATACCACTTTAACTTGTTATATAAAAATGTATATAATGTATTCTTGCAACAGTGATCCTAGGTCAAAACATATTGGAACTACCGAAATGCATTGTATATTCCCATTTAGACATTTAGAAAAAGACTGATTGAGCGAAGAAATATCTTTCTTTTCAATTAGGTCTTCATCTTGGGCTCTATACTAATATATAGGTTTACAATTTATTCAAATTACCAATCACGTGGTGTTTCGGAAATAATGATGTAAATAATCAATAGAGTTACTAAAATAGGAAATATGAATATTGATAGAAACAAGAAGGGGAAGAGGTGCATCCATCTTTGCTCATTAGCCCAACTACCTGTCACTAAATTGTCTCCATTTCAAGTCGTTTTTTAGTCGCAATGAGCTCAGTGGCTGCTGTTCATCGAAACCTGATACAATCACAGCATCAATTCAAGCTGATCGAAGCTTAGACTGCAGTTAATAATTCAATATGCCACTTTTTCGTTTACCTAACAAATTGTTTATCTCATCATAAACATACATTGAAACTGTGAGTACTTGTTAACTCAAAGAAGAAAATTTTTGTGTTTCCTTTCTAAACATGTTATGATTTAAGTGAAATATGCTAGTAAAGCTTCAGCCAAACGTGGCAGTTAAATTCACTTCAAATATCTGAACTATCTACTTTCTAGATATATATAATGAGGTCCGAAGTAATTAATTATTACCCTCAAGTTTTTGAACAAAGCTCAAACTATGAAAAGAAATAATTTTGATTTTCTTCTGCACAATACCATTCCCTATCTTCATAAAGCATAATATTTTAATTTAACCAACTTAGCAAACAATACACACGTGAAACACACACACATGAAACCATTTAAAGCGACCTTAAAAAAATCGTTACAACAGATTCTACTGGTAAATTTGCTTTCTTGAAGATAAACCATGCAAGAAGATTTATTATCTAAGTTTATTTTTACTAACGACTCAGTAATTAATCACAAAGGATGCAAAATAAACAACAGCATCGCTCGATACATATCATCTTACAAGAAAAAGGAAATATTTGGACCAAACCTATTTAGTGAAACAAGCATAAGAAATAAGTCACAAACAGTAACAAAACATGGGCAGCTATGCAGAATATCAATGAGAACCCTCTGTCCAGCTGTAATGTCTATCATTCAGTTTCAAGATGATGATGTCCAAGTTAATGCTCTCAGTAGTTTTGCGGACGTGTAAACAGCGAGATGAAACAAACTACTCAAAGTAACGGAAACAGATTTCAATGGCCTACTCTCTGACAGACATTTTAATTCCTAATGGATTTGACTTTTTTGCCACTACTAGTTGCTTTATTACTACAAATATCAGCCTCAGAAGTTGGTTCTTCCAAACCTTCAAAAAAATGAGAGAAATAAGTGCAAATTCAACAATTATCTATACTGAAATCAGTTTGCGACCTATAAATAATTAAGATTGATGTTCTCTAAAACTGTCTTGAGGCATATCGATTTTAAAAGATTTACGGCATTCTGTTTTTTTTATAGTGATTTCTGTTGATAACTCTCATCGAAGTAAGAAAAACTGGATTCGTAAAGTGAAATAAGCCAATTTCATCTCAAGGTTTCTTTTCAGTCGATGGTAGTCTTAGGTACATGAAATTGGTGAAATTAAAACCAACATTTTGTTGAAAAGGAAGATTGTAAAAAACTGTTTGGTTGTTTTATCATTTACTCTCTCCTCTTGAATCATTCCCTGTATCTCTATTTGACTGCATTTGATAGCAGGAATGCTATAAAGATTTTGCTATGGTAACCAAATTATTGTGAAAATGGGCACACTTAGTTATTAAATACTCAAGAATTAATGCAACTGTTTTTGAACCCTTGCCATACTTTTTCTGACGACATTATCTTCTGCTCAGTAGTCAGGCAAGTGATGCATGCACGAGCCACACCTGATTTATTATTTCAAAGTACTTACTTGCGCAATGATATTATCATTGGTTATTACTGTTCTATTCTGCTAGGAATTATACTACGACCTGATTGTTTCTCTCTGAAGTACAACTGGATACATGCTAATGTGACTTTTGTTGTAGATACAGATCATTAAATCTGTGTGAATTGTTTAGTGGAATTGCTTTTCGGAACTGCATGAAATATACCTATTACAATTATAATCGTTATTCTCCTTACATCATTCTTAAGTACGAATTCTAGCGTGGATAATTATACCATAATTTAGTTTCAAAAGCAGCACATCAGGGGGCATGTTCAGGGTAGACCATAAGAAGAAAACTAAAGCTTTAGTCAAGAAAATGAAACTTCCAAACTTTCCCAAAGAAGAGGAAAAACTTGTGATACGATTTGAATTCTCGGAAACTAAAATGCAAACTAATCAGGATTAAAAAACAGTATTTCATCTGAGTACACAAAATACTTGAGACTCATCATTTTTGAACATGGATTTATCTGATATTTTATGAAACCAACTAGATTTATTTAGGTGACTTATTCACTTCATGAAGAGTATCAACAAGAATCACTGAAACATAGACACGTGATAAGGAGATATCTTGAAGGACATATATTACACAGTAATCCCCGAAACCTTAAGCCAAAATGACGAAAACTAACAAGTTCGTACAGAAGATCACTAGCTACATTACATTAAACAGTAACATGCTGTCTTAGTTTCATGCTACATAAAATTATGGACCCGGCTCCCGTACCTTCAGTGACTAACATAAGCACCCAAGACACGAAATTCATTATATTTCTTAACGCCTGAACTACAGATGAAAAACAACAAAAGTTATCTTAAAAGATGGTACTGCTTATTGCATGACTTCAATTGTGAAAATAATTGAGGCAAACAAAATTTACGTCAGCCATTATATATTGCTTCACTTTCTTTGGCGAGAGGTTACGTACAGTATCCTGAATTTCAAAATTCTAACGTTCTGAATCCTAATGGCTTTTTAAGACATATGTGTGCTATATGAATCCAAACTCACAAGAAAATATTCAGAGGATTGGTGCCAGAATATGGAATAATAAGAGATAATGTGTCACATTCGTGACTCTTTAAAGTGAAATTTTAGGAACCACAAGCAATAGCTGAAGGAGTCATACTATGCAGCTACACAAAAATCAGAAGTTTTTCCCTTCTAACCAGTATGATGATGTAATGCCAATGCTGTGTTATACTCTCAGCTTATAGAAGTATTGAAACAAAATAATCAAATTTAAAGCCTATATGAAGCCGCGAAAATACCAAACAACATACATAGTTATTTATGTACAATGTGTATATGCTTGGCTCTGAAGAACTCAACTCCAGTATAGATTTATTTCACGATCAATTTTTGATTGTCATTGATAGGAGAACTAAGATATGATCCATTAGCCTCTGAAAATCCACTTTAAATTCCTCAAAAATCATAGCCATGTTCTATCAGGGGTATAAAAGTTGAATTTGGTAGAGGGACAGAAAAAATGCAGTACAAACATTGGATAAAATATAACCCACTTGTGTTAAAGGTACTAGAAGGTCATAAATTTAGTAGTCTACTACTGCTAAATTTAAAATTAGTAGTAAATAACTGTTTATTCATTGGAAATGAATTATTATGATGTGGTGATATGAAAACAAAATCCACTCACTATATATCATGAACGCTGCAGTCCCTGGTGGTTAACTAATTCTGATTTCACTGTCCTGTGACTACATATAAACTATTATTATTATTATTAGTCCCTTGGGTTCCTAGTGGAACATAGGGCTTCAGTAGCACGCCTCCAGTGACCTCTGTTCTCTGAGATCCTTTGAACCTGGTTCCACGACAGCCCACAAGCCCTCATTTCCTCCTCGCACGATCTCCTCCATGTCACCCTCGGACGTCCAACTCGTCGCTTCCCATGGGGATTCCACTCGAGGGCCTGACGCGTGATGTCCTCCGTCGGCCTTCTCAGTGCATGGCCAATCCATCTCCACTTCTTCCTGAATATTTGTTGGGTGATAGGTTCTTGGTTGGTTCGTTCCCAGAGTTCCTTGTTGCTTATTCTTTCTGGCCATCTGATCTTCAGTAGCGAGCGTAATCAGTTGTTGATGAATGTCTGCAGTTTATTGGAAATCCCTTTCGTGACGCGCCAAGTCTCTGAGCCATACAGAAGCACTGACTTGACTGGGTTGATGTTGAAAATCCGTAACTTGTTCCGCATGCTGAGTGCAGTGAAGCAGATCTCCACACTGGTTTCAGGCTAATGAACGCCTGTCTTGCTTTTCCGATTCTGACTTTGACATCCTCGTCTGTCCCGCCTGTGGCGCCTGTAGTTGAAACAGTGCTTCCTAGATAAGTGAAGGAGGTTACTTCCTTCAAGTTTCTCCCGTTGACGGTGATTGGAGTTTGTTGTTGTTGTTGATGGTGGTGGTGAGGTATCTTCATCACCTCTGTCTTCTCTATATTCACCTGAAGTCCCGTCTTCGCTGCCTCTTCTATCAACTTGTTAGTTTTTGCCTGCAGATCTTCAAGTTTATGTGACATCAGGCACAAGTCATCGGCGAAATCCAAATCTTCTAGGTTCTTACATATAAACTATACGAGGCATAATTAAATAGCTCTTTAATCAATTCATCTGACAACAAAATACAGAATAAAATTCACTCTTAAAACTTCATGCATCATATATATTTTTATGATTATTAAAATCTAATTTAGCATAACTTGGAAAACTTAGCAGACTTCACGGTTAGAACTGAACAAACAAATACTAAAAGTATTCTTAACACTACCATGTACACAAATGAATAGTTTAATTTTGCAAGCACTACACGTTGTTCAGTTATAAGCTTATGATGCGAATCATAAGTTTTTCTCAAGTGGTTAAGTTAAAAACCACCTACAGGTTATGAAATAAATACACAGGCATTCATACCAACCATTTCTTGTCAGTGGTTTTTCGTTGAGACGTGTGTGCACAAAACACTTCAGTAGAGAAAAATGAATAATCATCAAGTGTTTTCAAATATAATTACTATCCCTCTTCAATGCGAAATACTGAAAGAGAATTATTTTTACTAACCTGATTACTGTTCGGTTGTACATATTAGCAACGTATGATGGAAGAATAAACATGAAAACTACTAATTTATATTCATCAGTGTCTAGTTAGTATTTATAGTGTATGTCAACTACTGATATGGGATAAGTGAGATTTTCTTTCTGAACAACGTCAAGTAATGTGTTATCCAAATGAATAACACCATAACTGAAATGCATACACATATGTATACATACGTATATGTATATATATATATATATATATATATATTGTGGACAAAAAGTAATGAAAGGAATTCTGAACAGAATAAGGAATTGAGTAAAACTTCAAATATCTGAGCACTTACCTCATTTCTGTTGCTTTTATTTGTAACTGGATATTCACCAAGTATCGAAACCGATGGTGCTGCTGATTCAGAATGCGTTTTGTCAGATGACTGACCATTATAATTCAACGATCCATTTTGTTCAGCGTTCAAATTGATGTTTACGGGATTTCTTGGGTTCAGTGACCAACGTGGCTGCTGATTAATCCTGGTTACATGAGTACTCGTATGTTGTAGAGGAGACAAAAAAGATGGCATGCTACAATCTGCGAACGTGATGTCATTTTTTTGGGAACATAAAGTATTTGACCAATCTGAGGACTGTTTAAAATCCTAGGTGAATAAAATTATAAATAATGAACGTCATACTTTGCTAATTTCAATAATGAGAACTAACTTCGAACTAGAAGAAAATGTGGACATTAAGAAAGCCAAGTAAGACTTGACTAATAAAGTAGGATAGAACGTTCTTAGCACGAAATCAAAAGTTTTAAATCTTCCCATTTCAATTCTCAAAACACCAGCAGTTCACACTGAAAGCAGTATAGAAACATACATTCATAAAGTTAAGTGTGCATTTTTACTTACTGTCTTACATTATAAAAGAAAGAGATACAGTAACACCTCTGTTTGTCGTTGAAAAACAAGCAAAATGTCTCATGTTAATCAGTGTTTCACTTAAATATATATATAGAATGCTAAGTTTTAATTAGTAGATGCACCGTTATTCTATTATACAGCTCAAAACATCTTTTTTATAATCAAATAAAGAGAATACTTCAGTAGCTAAACTATAATTTCATAAGGAAAGTGCTGGACGAAACCCCTGACATATGAGATTAACTTTTTCTTAAGTTGATAAGAAATAGTTATTGAGGCTGTTCAAAAACTACCGCTTAATCGCTCCATATCCAAAGTGCTTTTAAACCCACACTTTTAATAAGTAGTTATTTGTAGAATCCCCTGTGCTTGTAAATTTAGTTTAATTCTTTGAGATGTTGGGTTAAGTATATTCCGAAATCGAAATTGTATGCATGTAGGTATTCTGGTCAACAAGTCTCTCATTCTACAGGATATAAATTGTGTCAAAGAACCATCCAAAATTATTTAAGTTCTAAACTTTTCAGTAGCCTGTTATTAGATTTCGTGGCTTATACAGCAACTATATCTTAAAATGTAAAATATGTAGCAAGAAATATTTTTAGAAATAATCTTAGAAAAAAAAATCAATCTACTTGGTAAATATTTACTAGGCAAATAATTTGTCTTGTTTTTATCAATCGTAGTCAAGCTGCTTCATGTTATTTTCTGTTTCAGTAAACATTAGGCTTAAAGTCCCTCAAGTTCACCAATAAGTGAATAAAAATGCATAAAGGTTGATAAGTGATAAATTGCCAAAATTTTTTAGCGTAGAAGAAACACTTCAACTGTTTAAGTATTCATTTGTGTAAAACGTTATTTTGACCAGTATTAACCGAAAACAAATGCGTGCTAGAAAACAATAAACTTCCTCTAAAATATAAGTACACATATTTCCATGTAAAAAGATAACAAATACATACAAAAACTACTGAATAAAAAGATTAAAAAATAGATAATGATTTGTGGCATTTTTAAATAACTTCATCGAAAGTGACACGTGATGAATTTTTGTTACAGTCCAGTGGTGTTTAATTTACATTAATTTATACTACTAATCTTAATCAAATATTTTACTTGGTCGACTGCTGATAACTGAATTTTTGAACTTATTTTTTCATCGTTCATTATCCATTCAATAAATCATGAAAAACCTATTTAGTAAAGTAATCAATTTAATTATGTGTTTGTGTTTGTTGTTTCTTCCTAATAACTTGTTAAACTTTACTACCTGAAATTTATAAGGGAATAGTTTCAAAATGTACAAATTATGTAATAATTTGACTGACATTTACATAAACACAAAATGCACTTCGATTGTTAGATATTTACTGACAATAAATTATGCTTCTATGCGAAGAAAGTTGTACTTTCTGGTCAGTGAATACCACACCCAAAAACCTGGGTTTTCATTTAATGACTGTAGAATGTAGTTAATGGTTTATCAACTTGTGAAAAATGAAAAGTAAGGATCACCTACTAAATCGCAAATGGTAATAAATATTTTATTCTGCTTCAAACTATCTATCGTTTAAGAACCATAAATAGTAAAATTTTCCAACTCAAGAATAGAAATAGGTGATTTCTACTAAGCAGTGAAATAAAGCACGCGTAAATTCCAATTAAAAAACTATTCTAACTTTTCTAAATATGACATCTGTGCTGTTGACGTTATTTCGAAAATTATTCAATACTAATTTTCCATTCTGCACCCAACTTACGTTTATTCATAGATTATGAGGATGAAGAATGAACGTTGTTTGTCTTGTGTCTAACTTATTACAATAATCTAGCTTTGCGGTGCACTTAACTGTAAATACAATAATCGAATGTATTATAAAAAGCCATAGTTAATGAGAGAAGTTGCTAAAATAATCATTGCTTTATAATCGCTTTTCAGCCCAGCACACAGAGTTACAAAATGGTCACCCTAGGGTAGCAAAAATATCTATCTAGACCTCAGTGCACAGCACTGATCGAAGTCCATAGACGTTTTTGATACGGCCACATAACTACTTTATTAGTAGTATTTGGTTATAGCTGTTCAGCGATACTCACTGCCTAGTGATTCATGTTCATAACCCACTCCAAAAAGGGATTACTTTTGGTCTTGACAACCTAAGTTTCTACTTTTGACACAGAGTAATGCGGGTTCCCGTAGCCGAGAGAACACCAGCTTCCTCATATCTGCAGATACACTTCGCTGGTAAGTACCAATAAGCATTAAATCTTGGTCCATGGTATTTGATTTTATGCGCTTGCGAATAAAAATCAGAAGGTGATGTTGCGTGATAGCTGGCATACTGTTCTCCGAGTCAGCTGTAAATGATAAACTTTACCACATGTGTTAAATCCCACCAAACGTGTATCGCTAATTTTTTAGGCTTAATGTAATTCACGTTGTTGAAGTAAAGCAGGAGGCAAGGATAAGTATAATCATCCACAACTAAGCGAAAGACTAATTGAGAAAATCTTAAATCATATCTTTTTGGACTTTCCAGTGGGCACCAATGTTGGATTTATAACTGACAGTTAACGCCTCAAGTAGCCATGCCTCACATCAACATATCAAGCTAGAACGTACCAACACGACAGATACGGAGATTAGTTAGAATCCAGTCAGGGTAGAAATAGCTGTGAACAGAAAAAATGAAGCAATGGGATAATTATGAAATTTCGATTTGACTTAGTTTTTCATGCAGACCTCAATAAAAAACTTTACGCCCCACCTAGATGATTCAGATATAGTCAAAAAATGAGTAGAATGGTGCCATATTTTAATTTATTCGTGACCTGACACTTTCTACTCCAGACCCATGCTAGCCAACATTACGCGACTGGGCAAAAGATGAACATGCCCAATCACCTGATTCGATGAAGATTTACAACCTTGTCAAGGACTTGTTTCTTTTGTCTAAAATACTACTCTCCACTCTTGAACTCCCAATGTGCTGGTTTCAAGACAAATGACCTCTGTAACGAAGGCAACAGAGATGGAAAACATGGAACCTCTTCATGTTCTCTACTTCTGATGATCATTTTTCATGGTCATATATTATAAGAGAGAAAACTAATGCGCAGTTCTTTCAAGTTTTGGTAACCAATCAGATATCATGATGGTACCAGGGATGGCGTAATTTTTCATAAGCTGACCAACGCTTTCACGCACCACACTTTCTGCTTTAGATGAGGCACCAACAGAAATCTCTCATACAGCAGGAATTTACATTCGGATGGTTAGAAACGTGTCTCAATCGCTCTCGAATTACCATTCAGGGTGATAAGTATACAAAAATCCTAGCCTCAAACGACTATATTATCTTCACGCTTTAGGTCTTTTAAGGAGTTTCCTGTAGTTATGCTAACCTGTACAGAGTCATAAGATAAGAGGTAGACCCCCGTAAGCTTATTCACAATAAAACAACATAAGAACACAGACAATGATTGTTCTTGATAGATTCCAGTCAACTTACGCAACTCACACCATAGCCCTTAAAGCGGCCATGGTTGTTTGATGATATAACTGACCGGCACCCGGTCCAGTGAGACACTGTAATAAGACCTCTTGACTGATTAAGTTGAGTAACAGCTCGTAGAGAGATGCAGTTAATGTTAATCATTTTTGTGTCTCTGTTGTTCAATTTAGGTGAAATTTCTGATCTGCTTGATGCACCTATAATCAGATCTTAACCCTGTCTGCTTTTGTTGACTTTTCGTGCTGAGCTTCACTCAGACATACAGTGAATACGGAGCCAAGGGTCTTAGATACCCTTTTCGCCAAATCATCCCTTTACAGTTGTAACGGTGAAATTTCTCTCCTTTCTTGAAGACAGGAACCATTAGTTATCAAGACCAGTCGGAGAGATCATATCTAATTCCTATTTGTTAGCCGAGATTTCGGTCAATTCATCCAGTGGTCAGTGATGGCTGTCTTTAACTACCTTTTGCACAAGCCTACCTGATACCACTTTCAGATTAACTGAAGCATTCTTGAATTCCGCAAGAGATAGTAGGCCTCTCTCATTCAAAAAATAACAGCATTCAACGACCTAACCAATAGCACAATCATATTTCAGGTTATGAATGTTACATCCTTGATTCCCAATAATCTCTACGTTCGATTCAACTAAACAATATTTTCTTGTATAAATACTCTGTCTTCGTTTGCGTTACATTAAGTATTTTCGTAGAACTGAAGTGCATAGTTGCTAACTTCGAATGAGCTTTAACAAATCTTCCTATTTTCATCGTATTCATTTATAACATCTCCACACAGCATACTTTTATTCATTCGGGCATACCATCTGAAGTAAGTTCAAGAGCTGAGTCCGTATAAAAGCGTTACATCACTCTGAGTAGATTCACAGACGTCTACAGATGTAGAATCATGTTCATGATAGTCAACTCATTAGTGGCAGATATCCATTAGGAAAGCTTCTGTAGGAGTAAAAGAATTAGATTTTGAGAATAAGGTTTTTTAATGAATTAATTAGCTCAATATAGCACTCTGCATAACATAACACTAGGTATTTTAAAACGTACAATAGCGTATGGTCACGTTTTTACAAAGGTGCTGAAGATACATCATATATTTTGAATAATAGACATTAAAGTGAAAGTCCTGAAGTGTTCTTACATTTCATTCAAGCTTTGAATAGAATCTTATGGTTTTTCCTTATTTATCCGAACAACTT